GATCTGGATATCGAAAAAAAGGGGGTCACTGACCCCTGACTTCTTTTTTGGAAGGGGCTTCGTGTCGTGCAGGACCGTCCCGGGGTCATCAGGGTGTGGTGGGGATAGGTTTTGCCAGGAGTGCCTTACTTAGCCCCTTTGACCGCAGCAAATGATGTAAGGGACACCGGGCCGGGATTCCGGGAGAAAATAAAAAAATAAAAAAAAAAAAAAAAAAAAAAAAAAAAAGTTAAACTTTGAGCCTTATATTAATAGGTGGGTGAACATTCATCACTCCAACGCTATCACAATAACTCAGGTTAATGGTTTACTTTCCACTGACATTCGACTTCGGAGATTGGTAAGACAAGGAGATTCATTGACACGCTGTCTCTTTTTAATTACTATTGAAGCATTAGGGGTAAATCTTTCGGTGCAACCACAAAACCTTAAACGTCTTCAAATTTCTGGCATCTCTGAGAAGACCATTCCCATTTGTTCGCTAATGATTTAACAATTATGATGGAGGCCTCTAGGGTTAATATGGATGAGACTAAAACCTTAATGGATAGGTTTTCACTAGTATCAGATATGGTGGTAAAGTGGGTAAGCAAAACGCAGGGGTGATGGACTTACTCTCAAGGGGATCATCCCCTTGACGGTCCCCTTGAGAGGCCACGTGTAAAGTGAATGTCATTAGAGGCCCCGATTAGGGTGCTTGGAGTGGTGTTGACAATGAAAGAGAAACCTAATTCCAATGACGTATGAATTTATTCCCTGACTCTATGAAAACAAAATAGAGGAAATGGAGTAATAAACACACACGGCTGTTTGGCAGGGCACTTCTCATTAATAATGTGATATTGGCTGCAATCTAATACAAGTCGACGCTCTGCTGGTGACCGAGCAAGGGTCTGTTGAGAGATCTTCGGGCACAAATTACAACCTTTCTTTGGCGAGGGGATCACACGACCCCTCATGTGATTTCCCGGATGGCTTGCCGTACTATCATCCAGCCTAAGGCCGAATGGGGTCTGAGAATTCCATATCCCATGATGCAATGTCAAGCTTTGCGCTTCAATGGTTA